ATTCGGCGTTTCTATATATTATCTCTATACCTCTTAGTATAATATTAAACCCTCTCTCGTTTATATATAGAGAATTTATACCTTTTTTTATAAAATATTTATAATTTACGAAACTGCTATAGCTATATTATTAAAAAAGGAATGCGATAACTTAATAAATAGCCTAGCTACTCTTCTTCTCTTTTTTAAGCGCGTTAAGGCGTTACTAAATTACTCGTAATAACTATTAAATAATACGATTTTTTACTCCCTATTTAGAGTTAGGGCCGAAATTAAGTTTCTTAATAAAACTATTAAGCAATATTTTAGTTACCTCGGTAAGTATAGCCGATTATAAAGCTTTGGGCTAATTTATTTATCCTAACTAATACTAAAATTCTTTTTAGGGCCCGATATTAATAAGCTAGGTATTATAAAAGTAGACGTTCTATCCGTTTATTTATTACCTATTTTTTTTATTATTATTAATAAAGAATAAGCGTCTAGTATATTTTTAAATTTAATATTAACCGTAGAGAATATTATAAGTTTAATTTAAAATAATTATATTATTAGAAGAGAATATTAAACCGACCCGATTTTATTTTTTAAAGTAGGGAGGGGTGTTAAGAAACGCAGATTACCTAGTTTATTATACGACGTTATAGAGATACTTAGGCAATTTTTCGTATTAATTCTATTATCCTATAACGTATATTTCGTTAACTTAATAATAGAATATAGCCCTAAGTATAGCCCTAACTTAGGAACTATATTTATAATAAACGCTAGTTTCGATTATAATTTCGACTCTATTACCGAACTAAGACTTAACTATAAGTTTTTTTCGAAGAGTATTAAGAAATTAATTAATTAAGTAGTTAAGTATGCTTACGTTAGTTAGTTATTGTGTCGAGACTAAGTTTAATTTAAATAAAGGCTTAATTAATTTTACCTAGGACGGTATGTTAACGACGTTATTTTTCTTATTATGCTCTAGTTTATATATTATATTTCTATATTTTAGATAATAGACCCGTTATTTATAAGGTTTATAAAGTCGTTTATAATTTTAGGCGCTTTTACGTTTATTAAGGGGTTTAATAGGATTATATTATTAATTAACGTTAATATAGTAGATTAGATATTAAATTACGATAGAAATTATTAGATTCTTATAATTATTAATTAGAAAACGGCGATATTCGATGCCTTTAGAATGTAGCTAATTACTTTTTTTTAATAGAGTAAAAAGGTTAATTAATACGTTTTAGAACTTCGTAGCGTAGTAATATAACTTAAAAAGAGATTTTACGAAGTAGGACTTATTTATACTATTTTTAATATATCGTATTTAACTTATATTAGTTAGTTAGGACTATATATAGATAACTTATACTACGCTTTTTTTTATATTTACGTTTTTAAGTGCTACTTAGGCCGGGTACTTCGATATTAAAAATAATAGCTTATGGGTCTCGCGTTACGAAAATACTACTTGTGCAGATTTTTTAATTAATAATAGCTACCCGCTAGTTAATTTATAAAAGGGTCGTAGTATTTAGTTTTTAGTAACGGATTAAGGGTTAAACGAGCGCCTCTTTATTAATAGAGTTAAAGTAGTAAGGGGCGCTATATTAAAAGGAGCTACTGCGATATAGTTATATAAAGGAATCCCCTAAACTTAGCGATTATAATTTATATTAGCTTAGCTAAGTATTGTATAATAAGGAGATTGGTATTAGATTTAACTATTTAGCTAATTAAAACCCTGCGGGAGTCTTTTATTAGATAGTACTAGATCGTATAGCTTAGAAGGGCTTTTAATAATAGTAGTCCCGTTATTAGGAGTGGCGCCTTTATCTCCTACTTTTAGAAATAGGTAATATGGGCTATTTAACCCCTTATTATTAGAATAGTATAGGCCCGTTATTATAACGTCTCTAGGGATTTAGTAGCGCTATTAGAACCCCGGCAGGGCCTCGAATTAATTACTTAGGAGGTTTTTACGAATAGGGGCGGTAACTAATTATAGAGATATTTTAAATTTAGCTAACTAGTTCTACTATATCTACCCTTTTAAGCTATTACTTTTTTAGAATAGTTTTTTATATAGCGCGTACTATACTCTTTTAAAAATATCGTCTCTTATTTTATTAGCTTATTATATAGATATATATTTTTTTTATAGTTTAGAGTTAGAATATTATAACGATCTGCGTATAACGATCCCCCTACTATAATATAAGGTATTTTTTCCTTTACTACGGTTTTTTATAAAGTATAAATAGCTAATATATAATTCCGTTTATTAATAAAGTCTTAGGGCGTTCTTATTATAAGGACGGGGTATATCTTATCCTTTATAATATTAATATTAAGTAATTACTTTATAGTAGTACTTACTATTTCCGCCTTTATCTTAGGCTAAAACGGCTTATTAAATAAAGTATACGTATAGTATTTATATATCCTACGTATTTAAATATAAATATCGGCTTTATATTACTCTCTTAAGCGGTTATATTATATTAATAAACTCTTCGTTACTTTAGTAAAGTTCTTACTAAACTTATTTTATTTCTTAATAAGACGCTAACTCCGAGGTACTATATTCGGCTTCCGGAGTATTACTTTCGTAAGAGTAGTTATTACCTAATAGTCTATACTTAAATACTTCTAAAATAGAACGTAAATAATATTTAATAATATTAGTATCTTAGATCTTAGGCCTAAAATGGCCGTTACTATCGCCGTTTTTTACTAAATAACCTATATCGGCGCAGGTCTTAGCCTATGGGCTATACCTAAATAGGGGAAGCTAAGAATAGCTATAGTTTATTTTTAACTTAGTTACCTTAGTAATTAGTTTATAGCGCTATGCGTTATAAACGAGCTAACCTAGTACTTTTAGTACTTTAGGCCTATAAGCTCCTTTTTAAAGCTTTTATAGATAGTAACTACTTATATACGCTAAATTTATAACCTCTAGTCCTATAGATAGGTAAAGTACCTAATTACTAATTATAATAAAGAAGGCTACTAAACCGATAATACGTTAAAATACTACGACCCTCTTATTACTACTAGTAATATTATTATAAAAGTATTAGCTTCCCCTTATTTTTTACTTTAAACTATTATAGGTCTATATCGTTCTAATACGTTTTTTATAAATATAAATAAGGACGTTCTTAGAGTACTATGCTCTTACTTTTATAATACTCTTATAAAATAAACATACTAATAAAACATATTAAGAATAGTAAGGGAGCTAGTCTATTTATAGCGCCTATTACGCTATTACCCAAACTACTTCTTATACTTCTTAATAACGAGCCTACTTTAATAAACTCCTACGTACGCAAAGTCTTTTATATAAGTTAATATAAAATCTATATAGGAGTAGATCTAGGCTTCGTAAGTAAATAAAATTAAGGTATAAAGTAATAAGATATATATAGTATAAAAGAAATAAAGCGCTACTAAAAAAGTGCTTAGTTTATACTTTAAATACTACCCTAGAACGAAGCCTGTATTAGGTTAGTAGTATACCGATATTTTTAGTATAATAGTGTGCTTACCGTACTACTACGAATACTAAACTACTACGAATATTATACTAGTACGAAGAGTTAAGGTCCTTAGATAGTTATACTAGTATAATTATGTTATACGAATTGCTATACTAGTACGAATAATATACTAGTACGATTAGTATATTAATACGAATAGCATACTAATATAATAATTTTAAGGTACTGAATTGTTATATTAGTATGAATAGTATACTAGTATGAATAGCATATTAGTATAAATATTTTAGGTAGTATATTAGTACGGTAGCTTTGGGTACTATTTTATTATTAGTATGCTTTTTGTACTTTAAAGTTCTGGTACTATTTTGCTTTTTTGTCCTTAGTATTACGGGATTGCGTGCTAGGGTGGTATTGAGGGTATTACGATTTTAAGTTTTACTTAAGCTAGGTCTCTTATTTCGAGCTAGTGATAACTTTCTTTTTTATATAAATTACGCTATATACTAGAGTTTTAGATATAGGATATTTTTATATATATACTTTTTTCGTTCTATATAATAATTTTTAAATTTTATAGGAATAATCCTATAATATAGTTATTTATAACGGTACTATTGTTAACTACGGTGGTTATAATTTATAGGTGCGCCTTATGCTTATTTATACCTCGTTATTAGCTAGCTATTTTTTATTAGCTCTAGAAGTACGCTTTTTAACTTTGTTTAGAGTCGGCCTCCTCCCCGTTACTTCCCGCGTAGATAGTTATTTATTAATATAGGCTCAATACGTAGTATAATCTTTAGCTATTTATAAATCTAGCAGAACCTAAGTAGTATTACCTATCTTAGTATTAAATAATACCCTAAAACGATTATAATAACGATTTATAAATATTTATTAAGTAGTTTCGTTTATTAATAAGCTAATTTACTGCGCTAAGCCGTTTATAAATAATACCTTTTTAATATTAAAGAGGTTTATTAAAGTAGTAATAACTATTTAGTTACTTTTGACGTTTGTAATTAACTTACTAACCCGATATATTTTTTATTAGGTAACTGTTTTAGAGGCTGCTTTATAAACCTCTAGATACTTTTTCGAAGCCTTAAAGTCCTCCTCTAACTATAATTTCTCGCTTTTATTTTAACTTATCCCGTTCCGAGGTAGGGACGCTAAGCGTTTATATAACTAACTAATAGTTTTTGAAAAGTTATCCCGGTTTTTATTTAGTATTTGGCATATTATTAGCTATACTTCGAATCGTATTTAGTCGTTTTTATTATTAATCGGGGCTAGTTAATGCTTTAAAAGGTCCCTATCGCTTACTAAGGTCTTAAAATAGTACTACGTATCTTTATAAATTTATAAGTATCGCTCTATTATAACCCGCTTATCCTTTAAGTTTATAATTATACTAAAAGTATTTACGCTACTTATAACTTCTATAGTTAACCCGTCTATCTTTTTATTAATACGCTATAGTTAAACGTTAAGGCAATAAATAGTATTTATAATTATCTCGTTATATTCCTCGAGGACTTTTTAAAAAGCTTTAGATGTCTACTTAATATAATGTAAGCTACTATAAAATAAGACTCGAGTTAACGTAAATCGGTAGGATAAGTAACTAATATAGTAATTATACTAAGACTTATTAAAATCGTTTTTTTATAACCTAATAAAGCGTTTAAGAAATCGTTAATATCGCCCCGCATAAACTCTATTTTTACCTAATTTCGGAAGCCTACTTTAGACTTCTCGCTAAATACTTTTATAGCTTTCTCGAAGTCATTATATAACTAGCTATATCAGAGAATAAGGTCTCTAAAAAGGACTATTATAGCAAATTCTATTTCGACGACTTTATATAGCATATCTAAAATCTATAAAAAGGCCTCGAGCTCTGCCTATAGTTAAAATAGGGTTCTATCCCGACTTTTATAGCAATTAATAATCTTAATAAATAATTTTATAAACTAAGTAGCTATTATAAGTAGCGTAAGTATAAATATAGTAATACTTAAAGGGTCCGCTATACTTAGAAAACGTTACTAATATAGTACCGTATCTACTTATATTAGCTACTTTACTAATATATATTATAACTAGGGAAGTTAATAAATAAGTAATAAATTTCTATTTAAACTCGGGCCCCTTTTTTATAATAAGCTACGCTTTAGTTAGCGTATTTAGCGCCGCGCCTAGCCTAGTTATATTACGGAGGTCGTATAAGTATTACTCTATAAGTAATACTTTTATAGAGTATAAATTAGTAGGATATTATATATACGGAGTACTAATCGTTTTTTTTATATAAAAGTTGCGCAAGGGGGGATTTAACTTTTATACTCCTCTAGCGCTTAAGTACTTTAAGTATTTCAAAAGTTCTCGCTTTTTATAATTAATTTCCTCGATTATAAATTTAGATTTGTTAATATTTAAACTATAGTAATACGGTAAGCATAGTACGGTCTTAGTAATAACGAGAGTTAATTATTCTATATTAACTTTGTATAAAAGAGGGAGTTTTAAAAGTGGGCCGGCTAGCCGCTAAATAATTAATTAAAAATAACCCTTATTACTACCTAGCTCGCGGGATTATATTGCTAATCCGATTAATACGTTATAGGTAGTACTTTATATCGGGTAAATAATAGCGCCAGAATCCTATACCTTAGTTATATTAATAGAAGTATTGCTTAGTCTTTTCTAGTATTTTAGCTACTATCCCTCTTTTTACTTACTATTCTCCTCCCTAACTATTTCTATTTATTAACTAGATCTATTAGGTCTTTACTATACTTAGAAAAAGAGTTTAATAAGTACGAATTACTATTACTATCTTACTTCTTCGACCCTATATTTTCTTAACTACGTTACTTACTTATATTTTAATCGTTATTTTAAGTATCCTACCTTTATTTTATTATAATTGCTTATACTTAATTAAAGTTAGTGCTAAAAGGGACGATTGCTTAACTCTAATAGTTTAATATTAAAGTAGTAGCCGTTTTTTATTTAGAAGTATACTTAACTAATTATAAGTAGGTAAGTAGTTCTTAAACCGTATTAAGAACCGTTATTAAAAGAGTATTTATTATATTTTATGATATAACGGATCCGAATACTCTAATTTTATTTTAAAAAACCCTTATTTATAGCTAGTGCTATTACTAGCCGCTGTACTAGTCTTAGTAAAAATAATATTAAAAGTATATATACGCGATTTAGAGGGCTATTAAAAACGACGCTAATACTTAAATATCCCTAGCTTATCTGTAAAGGAGCGTATTTTAAAAAGATTATAATAAACTACTTATTATTATAAAAAAGAAATGATTAATTAGATAGTATGCGGGGCTATAAAGGGGCCGATACTGTAGTAATAGTTTAAGTAGAACTAGAGTATAGAGCGTCTTTTTATGAGGAAGATATTTTTTTTAATTCTTAGTTATAAGTAATTAGTGTCTAGTCCTACTAGCTCGGTAATACTTAGTAACTAGAGGTTAAGAGAAGAGAAGGCTAATTTATTTAGTAACCCGCAATATAAAAACGTATTTATAACCTAAAGAGGCTTTATAAATAAACCCTCCTAAGACTTAATAAAACTAAGTATATTATAGAGATACTATTATGCAATTCTTTATTTTATAATAATATCTTTAATTTTATTTATTGTAAGGTTGTATATAGAAAACGGAGTTAGGTTTATTTGAGATTTATATTTATTAATCGTCCCCTTTACGGAGCTTATTACTACTTAAGGCGCTATAGAGCTCGATTATTTAATTAAAAGTATAAAAAAAGAGTAGGAGTATTCGTTAAAACTACTTCTAAAGCCTTTTTTATATTTAATATAGTTTTTAAATAGCTCGAAGCTCCTCGTTTAAAAACTACTCCTTATTTTTATTAATATTTAAGTATATTGATATTTTACTCCGTGCTATTTCGTAATCGATATTAATTAGATATTATATCTTCTTTCTAAATATAAGCCTATTTAAAGGGTAATTATGTATCCGGGATTAAAGATTTGTATTATAAACTCTTAGATAGCCTCGAAGGCTATAAAATTATAGTTTTTACTTTATAAATGCTCCGTAACGGCTACTAATATACTAAACTCCTTAAAGTAGCCGTGTTTTAGATAGTAGTAGAGGCTCTGCTAGTATTTAGGTAATTTAAGGTATTAGTTTAATAACTCGAAGTTTATAAAGCGACCGCTATATAGGGAGTAATTAAAAATCTTAGTAACGGGATCTTAAGATTCTGTAGTGGCTTCTAAAGTAACCTCTATAGCTTACTTTTATAATTGTTTTGTAAGTACGCTATTTAAATTATGCTATTTAGCTATTTAAAAAACTCTAAGCCGAGTTAATAGTGTTTTTTTATATACTCCCTCTTCTAGGTAATTAAAAACGCTAGCCGTAGTTACGTATAGTTTATAATAAAAAAGGTAAAATACGTTATTACCGCAGTATACTCTATTATTACGATATTATATAAGTTAAGCTGCTTTTATAATTTATAGTTTAGTAACGAACTATTTTAATACTATTTAAGTTTTAGAATGTTTAGTTGTATAGATTGTAGTAAAAGTGTTTATTTATTTTATACTCTTTAAGTGTATCTTTATTATTTAGAACTTTAGAATAAGAGTGGAAGTCGTAGTAGTACTCGGGTTCGTTAAAAGATAAATCTGCCTAATGGTTTAGCGTAGTTATATATTATTTAATAGCTCGTTAGTTATTATAATAATAGTTGTAAATATTATATTCGAATTTAGGAACTAGGTGGGACTTAGTAGCTATATACTAATTACGAGACCTCTATAAAGGCTATGTTTAAAAGTAAGTAACGTAAGCAAAATTTATTACTAGATTTGTATAGTTATATAATAATAGAATAAGAAAGATGGTTTTTTATATAATTATAAGAAGAACGTATAAAAAGATATATAATATATATTTAGTTAGTACTATATTTAGGGGATATCTTATATAGTAAGCGTGCTGCGGATAACTCTAATTTAAAATACGTCGTAAATTACTTCGTACTTAGTTATAAAAAGCGTTACGCCCGCAATATTAAAATATACTACCTAATTATTTTCGGGTTCGTAACGGGGGCTTAGTTAGCCTCTTATAACTATAGTATACGAAACGACAATAATTATAATAATTAAGTACTATAATTAACGTAAAGTTTTAAAGTTAGAGGGCGCGGTTTTAATAATACTATATTACGAGTAGATCTATTTATTACCTATATTATAGTACCCTAAATTATTAATAAATCTAAAAAACAATACGCGAACTTAATAACTACTTATTTAAGGGTATAATACTAAAAAAATAAATAACTATTATTAAGAAGCCGAATACTAATACATAAATATTAGTACATAAATACTAATAAATAGAGAGCATATTAAATAAGCGCTACTAGCGTCTATAGGGGCTTTTTTAATTATATAAACGCTAGCATATCTATACTAATATATTTATACTAGCACACAAGTACTAGCATATAAATACTAATATAAATAGTATATAAAATAGGCGCTACTAGCTATTATATAAGTATATTAATACTAATATATAGGTAATAATATATATTAGTTCTATTTTAATAAGCTAGCTCCGCGCTACTTAGTCCATTCTAATTCCGCTCGTCCCGTACTAACTAATCAATATAGTTTTTACTACGGCTTAAAATATAGCTCGGGTCAATATATATATATAGTACATACCCCCCAATTTATCTACTTTCTTTATTCTAGGGTAGCAAAGTAGAACATAATAAATACTTACCGTACTTAATAAGTATCCTTAAAAACGTAAAGTAAAAAGAATTTTATAAAGCGAGCTAGGGGGAATAATTAAGTATACTTCTAGCTTTTAAGCGCATATTTAGTTTAGCTATAATTAGACTCAGTCGAGGTAAACGCCCGTAACGAGCTATTAATAGCTATATAAGTTCTTCCTCTTACTAATACGCAGAGGCGTATAAATAATATAAAAAATTAGAAATACTATATACTTCGTAAAGTAAATTAAAAAAATTAATATCTATTTTAAAAACAAAGTAAAACATATATAATACTATATAACCCGCAGGCTAAAACTAATATACTAAAACTAACGTATTAAAACCCGCGTACTAGAACTTATATACTAAAACCTACGTGCTAAAACCCGCGTACTAGAACTAATATATTAAAACTAATATACTAAAACCCATATATTAAAACTAGTATACTAAAACTAGCGTACTAATACCCGCGTACTAAAACTAGCATATTAGAACTAGCATACTAAAACTAATATACTAAAACTAGCATACTAACACCCGCGTACTAAAACTAATATATTAAAACTAATATACTAACACCCGCATACTAGAACTAGCGTGCTAAAACCCGCGTACTAGAACTTATATATTAAAACTAATATACTAAAATTAATATACTAACACCCGCGTACTAAAACTAATATACTAAAACTAGCGTATTAAAACCCGTATACTAAAACTAATATACTAAAACCCGCATAAAACGTAAATAGTCGTTTTAATCCGTTCATAATATTATAACGTAAAAGACTATTTATAATATACTATATAGAATATAAGTAATAAAGTTAGAATTAATTCTTATTAGTACGAGTCTATTTTTTATTTTACTCCCCTTAATTACGATATATTCTATAGTTAGTAAGTACTATCTTTCTCACTCGCCTTATTACGTTATAAACTACGTCCCGTTAGTAATAACGTAGCTAAACTATGCGTTTAGATAGCTTAGTACTATATATATATTATAATAAGGGTTATTTCCTAAGTTATATCGTAAGAATATATTAAAACCTAGTAGTATTTCTAAAAAAGTAAGGCTCGTAATTAGACTACGTACTTAGTATTACTTTTGCAGTTATTTACTAAGTTATGGGTTAAGGTATATATATATAATAACCGGCTCTATTATAGGTTTTAGAAAGTTAGGTTTAATTATACTTTACTAGCCGTAGTTATAACTAGTAGATAATATTATATATAATGCGGCTAGCCTAGATAGCGTAACCAGAGACCGTTAGTAACACGTTAATTTTTAGGGTTAAATAGTTTAGTAATAAAAGTACTTAATTTTAAGAGAAGTAATTAAACTAATAAAGTACCTATCGGGTCTCGTCTATATTTAAATCCTTACTAATAAGTACTATAAACGCTAACTCGAAGTATTATATCCTTTCTATAAGTAGTTACTTAAGGTTTTGCTACGGTAAGTTTATTAAAAGCGCGGAGGGAATAGTATTATTAATACTTACGTAAATTAAAGTACTTACGTTATATACTAGTTCTATAAAAGGTTAGGCCCTATAGTAAGTAAAAGACGGCTCGGCAACCCCGCAGCAAAAATAACTCTATAGTTTATATATAATAAAGTCGTATAATACGGTATATATAGCCCGGCGCATTAATTAGGGCCTCTAATAATAACTTAGCTATAGGGGAATTATTTTAGTAAGTCTAAGTTTATAATATTTACAGTCCTTTTAGCTCTGAGATAGGTTTACTAATTATAAGGCTAGACCGTACGAACCTAAAACGTCCGAAATAGTAATTATAAGTAAAACTAGATATTTTAATATATAGGGATAAAAGCTAAACCCCGTTCGCTAGCTATAGAGTCCTATTCTATTTTATACTTATTAATCGCTACTATTATTGTTAGAAGCCTATTCGATACTCTTCTATAGCGCCGTAAATTACTATTTATATTAAACTTTACCTAATCGCTTTCGTTAACTAATTCTTATTATTTAGTAACGTTTAAAATAAGTATTAGTAGCGTAAACGGTAGTTTATAATTAAGTACCTCTAGAATTAATATTAGGGGCGGGTTTTAGCTATCTAAAATATTATAATATCTAGCTTAGTTAAGAATAGGATTTATAGCTAGCCCCAGACTTTAGGAGCTACTTACGTTAACTAACCTTATGTTTTATAAATAGTTTTAATATTTAAGAAGCCTAATACTAGTATAATAGGCCTTTTTAAACCTCTAGTAATAGCCGTAGTAGCTTATTTATAAATAAATTATAGGGTTAGGATAGTATTAGTACGAGTTAGGGCACTTTATTAAAAGCTACTCGAGGTATCTATATTTAACTTTAATAGCTATTATTACTTACTATTAAGCGTAGCGGATAGTATATAGTAAGATTAAATCTAGGTTTAGCTTATATAAGGTCGAGCTTAGAAAGATAGAGTTGTTTATAAAAAAGAAGTAATATACTTGTTATAGTATTATTAATATAATCCCTTATTAGTATTTAGCCTATACTACGTACTAAACTAGTTAAGGACTAAAATAATCTAAATAAATACCTTTAAGTATAATCCGTTTTTAATATAAAATTAAAAAACGTAATTAAAACTATTAGAAATTTATATTTCGTATTATGACTAGTTTTTAATTATTCTAACTATAGCGACGTAAGGAGAAGTAATACTTCTTACTGTAGGCCTACTTTATTATAAATTATGAAATGCGCCCCGCTTAAAGTGGCTAATACGGATTTATAATTCGCTTTAGTAGCTTATAGATAGAGCCTAGCGGTACGTTTATATAAATTTAGTAGGAATATTCCTAAGAGTTTAGTACTTTACTAATTATTATATACCTAAGTATTTACGGTTTAGGTTCGGAACTACGATTAAAGTTCGTATTACTGGACCGTAATCCCTTTTGCGGGCTTTGTTATATATATTAGATCGAGGATCCTAGGCTTAGCTAGGTTATTATTATATAAGCTAGCTATATAGCTAACTAGGACTCCGCTCCTAGGTATTAAGTAAATAAGGCTAGCTTATTAAAAACCGAATACTTAAAGATTAAGCGTAACACCCACTTCGATCTATATATTATCTATATATAATAATTATTCTATAAGTTACTTATTTAAATTTTGTTCTTATTACTATATATAGTTCCTAAGTAGTAAATTATAATAAGCGCTCAGAGGTAGCGTTACTAATAAGTATAATATATTAAAGTGCCCTTTTAGTATAAGCATTAACTTAGCCCTTACCTCGTACGGACATAGGTCCTAAATTTAGTATATATACTTTTAGGAGCTATCTTAGTCGGTGCTGCTCTAAACGTTATTTATATCCCTGTATATTGTTATATACTTTTTATTTAGTTATTTACGTAGATATTTACTAGAAGCTTATTATATAACTTAGAGGAATATAAGTCTAGGCCCCTCTACTTAGTACGGAAATATCTCTACGTTTTAAATCGTGATTAGTAACTTATAAGGCGGATTAGACTATTATATTATATTATAACTAAGTAGTTACCCTAGGTTAGCGTTTTAATACGAACTAAGGTTTCTTAAGAGCGTAATTCCTAACTATAGCGCAGACGCTACCCTAGTATTACGAAATATTGCCGCTTAAGGATTATAATTAAAAAAGTAAGGGATAGGATAGGTATAATATAATAATACTATATCGTAGCTTTTATAAATTATATATAAACGTCCGTAGTATTACTACTTAGGCTTTAAGCAAAAACCCTTAGTCCTAACTAGTCGCGTTTAAAAGTATTTAGTAGAACTACGCGAAGCGCTACCTAATTCTAAATATCTTTTATTTAAGTAAGGAGAAAATAGCTAATTAAAGCCTAATATTTACCCCATAACTCCCTTAATAAGTACTTAATAGCCCACCTCTTCCTAACGTGAGCGCTTATTAAGGTATATTCTAATAAAGCTATACTATAGCACCTATAACTAAACTATCCCGATCGTCGTAAATAGTTATTTTTATAACTACTCTTATTACTATTACTATAGTAGTAACGCCTATTTCCTCTTTTTTTTTTAATAAATACCGGTTATAATACCTCTCCTATAACAAATATATAGAGTTACGAAATTCCTAGGATAAGTATTAGAATACTAAACTCGCTTCTATTTAATACTCTATTAATAACGTAAAGTAGGAGTTAAATGATATTAAGCGAGAGTTAAAAGCCGATATTAAAGAGATTAGAAATAATATTACGGCTCTAAAAAATAACTTTATAGTTTTAAAAAACGACGTTATAACCCTTAGAAGCGACTTTACGGTTTAGATATAATACTTTAAAACCGAGATGAGCCGGTCTTAAGTATTTACGCAGAATAATACTTTAAAAAATCTAACCCTCCCTATCTAACTTATTATTATATATTACCCTAGACATAGCATTCTTAAGCCTAATTCCTTACGTTTTTTTTAAAACGCGAACGATTTTTACTTTTTAAGGGATTTATAAACTAAATAGTACTAGATTACGCTCGCCTACCTTATTAACTTTTATAACGTCTAACTTAGAAGTACTAGTTATTTTTTTAAAGAGGAAAGTAATAGTAACGATAGTAATAATAACGAAATCATTCTTAAATACCCTAAACTCGTTGTAAAGAAGTTAGAAAATATACTCGGCTTAAATAAAAATAAAATAATTAAGTTTAAGGAGAGAGCTCTACAAATAGCATTACGAGCGCTATCGAAACCTATTAAACGCTCTTAAATATCCTAGCCTAAAGCTAGACTTATTCTTAGCTTATGCTAATAAAAACTTAAACTACGTATTATTTCTAAATAAGAAGTATACTTTTATAATCCCGAACGCCCGAAAAGTATTTCTTTTAAAGGCTTTACTAATATATATATTAAATAGGGTATACGTTTAATACCTTTTTTATAATAGGTATAATTATAATAGTTTTTTAAAATAGTATGCGTATCCGAGCTACTTAACTTTAAACTAGAGCGACCGAAGTCTATATCTAAGGGTACTAAGACTAAGTTAATAAATACTAATAACGATATATATATATTTACGAACTTATTAAAACGGTAATCTTAAAAAATACGGTAGTTAAAACTAGTAGCTTATTAGCTAGGTAAATTTTATCCCCCCCCCCCCCTAGAGTAATATACGATTATTAACTAAATACTTTCTAAGCTTAAGCGTTAAATAGGAATAGTTAAGTGCGCATAGGGTTTAAATATATAGAAAGAGGGTTACGAGTAGGTTTAGGACGTATATAATAGGAGTTAGAGAGTAACTAAGCTATCTTTTCTAATAATAATAGCTTAGCTCCTAGCTTTTTAGTACTGCAGCTACCCTTAGATATATATATTATTGTTTAATATTTAAGCTTCTCTATATCGTACTACTACTAAGATAAAAGGCTCTAGTACTAGATAGGATGCTTACTAACTCGACCTAGCTTTTAAAAGTTTATTTTTTAGGTTAGGTAATTAGGCGCTTATATAGTAACTAAAATAGTTATGGAAAAGAATAATATACGGACTTTAATATTTAAACGGCTCTAAACCTCTTATAAAGACTTTTATAAAATAATTCTTTTAGACTCGACGTTTAGTACGAGATACGAACCGAAGTGTTAGGATATAGCCTATTACTATAAGTTAGTACTAGCTATATTATGAAATATATAAGAACTATTTAAAACGTAAGCTATAATTTATTACTCTTATTTAGAGGATTATAATCGTATCCCTTAAGCGTATTCTTATTATTTTAGTTTATTTAGTACGAAGTAGGGCCTTTATACTAGTTCTATTTAGTATAGTAACGGGTTAGGTTATGGCTACTAAAGCACCTTGGCCCACGCCGCGCAAGTATTCTATTCGAGTTATCTTATTATTAACTCTTACAATACTTTTTTAAAGAGATAAAGTTAAGTATATTTATACTTAGGGTAATAGATAGTAATTAAGGGCTTAATAAGCATAGTTAGCCTTACTATTACTTTTAAAGGGAGGGCGTAGGCCTATTCTTATTATAGGCCGCATATTATATAAGTACTTAAGTTAATAAGGGCCTCCTATGCTAATTATTATCTAAGTATATAGGCTAGGAGTACTTAGGGGTATTTAATATACGAGTATAAGCTAAAATTATCTTTGCGTTTATATAAGACTTAGGTAATAGATAGTAATCCGTTAGTAATATATTAAGTACTATAAGATCTCGTTAAGTAAAGTATTTTATAGAAAACTTAATAGTGCTTATTTAAAGATTAGGACTTTTATTTTATAATTTAATAATAATGCCCCGGAGTTTATTTATTTTTAATATAAGCTATTTTTAAAGTAATTAATTAGGATCCTTGCTAGCGTTTTATATATGCTAATAAAACTAAAACTATTAAAAGGAGCCCGTATACTAAAAACTAAAAGAGTCTAATTTTATATAATAAGTAATGTTTTATATATACAGATCTTATAGCGCCTACTTAAAGCTACTTACTTATAGCTACTTTCTGCTAATTAAAACTAATTTTAGTAAGTACTAATAGCTAACTACGGCCTATATTTATATTACGAAGTACTAATAAAATGCTTAAAGTACTTTTAATAAGTATTAGAATTAACTCTAAGTATAGTAATTACCGAAGCTAGTGCGCTAAAACGGCGTATACGAGCGTTCTATACTAAAATACGATACGTAATATAATTTACCTTAGTATCTAAGTAGCTAGATATTAACTATAGTTATTAAGAAATAAGTATCGTAGCCCTGCGTAAGTAGGTATTTTTATCTTTTAGATTATTAAAATTAAGTAACTAGTGTTAAACTACTATTATTAATAGTATTAATAGTACCGGCCCGTTATATACTATAAAGTCTTTAATATTCTTTAGAAATTTAATAGCGCTACTATTCCTAGGTCGCTTATTCTTAGTAATACTATATATAGGCCTTAGAAATAATTAACTCGGATATTTGCGTAAACTAGGTATAGCGATTAACTATAGATACGCTTTTTGTTTAGCTAGTTAGTTTTATTATATATATATACCCTTATTAAGCTATTATTTTAAACTATTTTCTTATATTATACGTACTGTGCCCTCTTAGAAATATTATTTCTTACTTTATTAGCTCGTTATAGGAATATATATTTATATTATAATTCTGAGCTAGAATATTACGACGATCTATTACTAACGCCCTCTTAGTATTGTAATATAAGGCGTTATTTTTTTCTTTTATAGTTACTTATATTATATAAATAGTTAAGGCGCGGCTTTACTTATTAATAAAGTCCTAAGGGGTTCTTATTATAAAGATAGGGTATATTTTTCTCTTCTTAATATTAATATTAAATAATTACTTTATAATAGTACTTATTACTTCTGCCTAGGTCTTAGGCTAGGATAGCTTATTAGATAAAGTATACGTAAAGTATTTCTATAACCGATAGACTTAGATATATATATTAGTATTATATTACTCCTTTATTTAGTCGCATTGTACTAATAGATTTTTTATTATTTTAACAAAACTCTTATTAAACCTATCTCGCTTTTTAACTAAGTACTAAGGGGGAGATACTATATTTAGACCGCAGAGTAATACTATTACTAAGATAGATACTACTTAATAGTCTAAACTTATAAATATAGTATTACTAAAATAGATTATAAATAATATTCTAGTATCTTAAATAACGTATCTAAAAACAGCTATCTTTAAGAATATTATTATTTTTAACCGGATTATCCTATAATACTCGTAATTCTAGGGCTAGATCCCGAGTATAAGAAGCTAAAAATAGCTATGTTTATTTTAAACTTACTTACCTTATTAAATATTTTATAGCGTAACGTAGCAATATAATATCCCATACCTAATCCCCTAATAGAAGTACCGTTACGTTTCGCATACTAACGTATTTACTATTAGTTATACTAATATAAATAGCATACTAATATACTATTTATATATACCCGGCCAATATACTAATATAAACTGCATACTAGTATAAGTTAAACAATATACTAGTATAATAACTAGGTCTAGAGTCTTATATCTATTTATATTAATAAGCTATTTATACTAATAAGCTATTCGTACTAATAAGCTATTCGTACTAGTATTTTATATATTTAGTAATAGTACGCTTTTGATATTAGTATACTTTCGGCTTACGTTTGTGTTACTAATTTATTTATATCTTTAGAATTTTATATTTTATGATTATTAAACTATACCTTTTTATATCGTTCTTAGAAAAGCTAGATAGATATGCAGTCGCTAAGTATTCGTTAACGTAACGTTCCTTATAACTTAGAATATTAAGCATTTCTTTATATTCGAAAGATTAACGTTGCTACTTAACTAGCTATTATTTTTAAATTAATAAAATAAGGAGAGCCGTAAGCTAATTATTTAAAAATAACTAGGCTATAGGGACCCCTTGCTAACGTCTATAGTAACGGCTAATAAAGATCTTCTTAATAAGCCGATAGATATTATTAAAAGGCGATAAACGTTTCCCTTATTTATATAGCTTATATATTTTTACTATAATTGTGGCGGAAATAAGTTTTAGTAAAAGGAAAAAGAAGGAAGAAAAAAGAAAAATATAAGCTTTTTACTTATATATGCTACTAATTTCTAATTATTGTCTATATTAACTTAAGTGCATTCTATTACTAAGCTGCTATTTAAAGTTACTCGTAAATAACTACGTAGCGATATATATAGAGTAAATATTAAATTATTAGCTTATTACCGTACCAAAACTAACTTTATTAGCTAAGTATAATAAGAGCTAATTAAATATTAATAATATTCCCGCTACGAACCGAGTACTTACTACTTAAATACTAAAATACTCTATATATATTTTAATAAGCACTCTTCCTAACTTTTTAAATAGAAATAAGTTAAATATTTTACTCTTTCCCTATTATAATAGCTTATATAGATCGAGGATGCGCGTAGAACGGGACTAGCTCTTAATTATAGTAAGTTAATATTTAGGTAGTAGCTTTTTCTTTGCTATAGTTATATATAGCTAATTATTAGTAAGTAAGTAGTTTAAGAACTGAGAGAATAAGAACGATTGTTGAACGAGTATTTATTACGCCCTATATTACGATAATTCTGAGCTTTTTACCCTAATATCGAAGGATTTATCTTCTATAACGGCTTTAATAGTTGCGGTTGCTATTACGAAAAAAAAAGACGGTCGATCCGATAACATATTAGGCAAGAGTAGAGACTAGGCCAATGTAGTACTACGAAATAGGACAATAATATGGAGCGCATTCCTATAAGAAAGAAGCCTTTGTAAACTTCTAGTTGCAGGCGATCGGTCTTTGGTTCTGCCAGCTCACTAACGTCTAGTGAGTAAAGGCTGAGAGGGGAGACAACTTTTATTGTGGCCTGCGATACAAAAATAACTTGCAACTAAAGAAAGCTTCATGAACAAGCCCTACTAAGGTTTGATAGATGCAACCAGGTCCATCGTTAAGACTCTACACGAGACTGATTAGGTCAACCCACCCGATACCTCGTTCCGCGACGACATCCCCAAGTCCAACTGTTGCAAGGTTGCAGATAGAAACGAAATCAGGGTTGGTCGAAATCTGTTACTGTTGAACAGAATTTTTTACTGCCTACGGTGCTCGATGACTTGATCGAAACCATGAACCAAGGATGGAACAGTTCGTCGGAATCACTTTCACAGTCCCTTCAATTTCGAAACACCTTCCAGATAACTCGAAGCCCCTCGTACAGAGACTGCTTGACATCATTACGGATACTCAGACACGTCGATGTCGATACCGCTTCCGAGTTGATTTCGACCAGCTATTGAACTTCCCGCCCACGTTCCTCCGTGTCTAAAGCGCCATAGTGCGTCTGGGGTGGAACATGCGTGCCGCAGTCTCCTGAACAGCCTCGAAGGTCATAATATTGCAGCCCTCACTCTGCAGAAGCTCAGTGACGGCTGCCAGTGTGCTTAATTCCTTGGGGCAGCCGAGTCCCGGGCAGCAGTAGACGTTCTGCTGGTGTTTGGGCGATTTGAGGTGTTGATTCGACTGCTCCAGAATTGCAAAGCGACCACTGCACAAGGAGCAATTGAAAGTCTTGGTCTCGAATGCAACTAGTGTTGTTACCTATCCTATTGCGGCGTCCCATGGACTTTAGGCCAGAAGTAATAATCCACTTCTGTTGTATCAGGTAAATGTCTCCAGTCCTCCTTACAAGTAACCTGTATGTCCAGGCCTTGCCCAGAGAGCAAGTAAGTCGGGATCAGAAGCTGAGTCAGATGCTCATAGTCGGCAATCAAAGAAAGGCGCATTGAATAGTCGAGATCAATACTTGGAAAGTTCGACTCGACATAGTCATACATTCCGCCGATGTTCCACCAATAATCCCTCGGGATCCATATCTTATCGATCGACTTCATCTTTGACTTGCGAGCGGTGATTTGGCAATACCTGCCAGAGGTGTGTCAGTCGATCTGATACTGCGTGGGATATACTATACATGAAGGCACGAACCAGTCTCCAGGATTACCGGGCCACTGGCCTGGGCCTGGTGTAGTGTATACACCGACTCCTATTTGATTGCCAAGTGCTCTAGCTGGATCAAAGCTGATTCTGCCGTCCCGATTGTATTGTCTTGCTTGTTCCTGTTGGTCGTTCTTAGTTCGCATTCGTCCGTCAATCGGTTTGACGACGTACCGCGCTAACAGTCCGATATCCAATCGTCATGCGAGAGTAGAATTGTCGAGAATCAATGGGAGCTGCGCCAACGGATTCCGTCAATGCTGCGGCCATGGCCCAGGACAACGTCAAGGCTCTATGAAGAATCATGATAAGCGTTAATATTTGGCTAGATAGAAAAGAGTAGAGTGGTAAAATAGTTGGGTTAGAAGAGTGAGCGAAACGGCACATGATATATAGAGCCTCGGAGCTGAATATGTTGAATTCGGAGGACATTAGTCTGCTGGCCTCCGAGACTTGCTTAGTAGACTGTCCAGTCTCATATCCCTCAAATTCAAGCAAATTGCGGTTCGAATCGTTTTTGCGACGAGCAGAAACTGGGATAGAGAACCACGGAAATGACCGTCTACCCAGGATGATTTGAGTTTAGATTTTTGATGACTATTAATTGGTTGCTGACTAGCCAATTCAGCCAGGACGGTTCCGCAGATTGCTCTAATCAGACCACCCACAACCATTAAACCCTGAATTTAGCACGAGTTAACTACCGATTGGTGGTGTTGGGATTTCGGTCAACCTCAGCGATCAGTCATATCTCCAAATGAGACACCCCCCCTCCCCCCAAGGGCACGCTCGATGATTTGCGAGAACCACGAAGATAGCTAGTCAGTCAATGAGGGCGTCACGCCTACAACCGGAGACTACGTGACTACATGGACTGGCACGTAGACGATGCACGCGCTTTCCTAAGGTGGATTCTTTCGCCTCATGCTGAAGGAACTGTCATCACGATGCTTCTTGGAAAACAAGTGTACACGGGTGGATACCTGCACGCTTAGCAGAGACCATCAAATTTGAAGGAAATACCTCTGAGCCTGGTTGTCAAGCGGACGAAATAAATGCCAAGATATTACGCAATTTGGGCAAGGTTTGAGAGATGTACGTCGTTCCAAACCTTGCCAAAGGTTCGTCCGAATGGCATTACAATGTTTTGAGTGTCGCCAATTGCCTAGCAGAACACAACGCAACTGCCTTATATAAGTCTTCCAAATTGCCCTCTCAGTTATGTTCACAGTCATTGAGACCTGAAGACAGTGATAACTATTCCATCACATTGTCCTTCTCTAGTTGATCTTTTCTACAAGATGTTATTCAACATTGTCAGTCCAGTCCTGGGCTGTCTTCTTCTTTCCAATGGCGCCATATCCGCTTTGCTGCCTCGTGGCGATGATGCCGGCATCCATCCATGGATCGACCACGATCGTGTCACCGCGTTCTCTCAGAATGCATCTCCAGGATTAGAGGGTCAGCTAGAACTGCGATTCAATCCCGATCTCTACGTTTCCGGAGGCTGCGATCCGTATCCCGCTGTTGATGCCACTGGAAGTCTTGGGTAAGTTGCCTGTATCACTACATACCACGATGGCTACTAATCTATTTCGTAGCGCTGGCCTGAAACCAACTGGCGGCGGAAGAAGTGGCTGTGGTGACGGTCAAGGCGGACAGGTGTACGTGCGCCGCGGTGTTAGCCAAGGCCGAGTTGGCGTCATGTACAGTTATTACTTCCCTAAAGTCCGCTGGGCCAAGGGTGATAATAATGGCCACCGCCATTACTGGGCCAGTATCGTCGTATGGATTAACCGCTGGGGATGCCAAGTTGATGACACCACTTCGGCTTGGCCAGTTGGAGTCTCATTCACAACTGACCACTTGAAATGGGGCACCGCAAACGCTGGCGATATCACTTTCAAGTCCTCCGATGTTGGGGTCGATATGCCCACCCATCCTAGGATGCAAATACACGATAATGCCATGGCACCCTTCACCGGCGCCGACGGGGACAAAATCTACGAACGTACTCTTATTGGATGGGATTCGCTACCAGACGAGGCCGTTCAAGCGCTTACTGATGTCAAATACGAGAAGACGGAGGTGCCGTTCATCGACGTTAACTTCCAACGCCATTTGGACGCTTCATACCGGGAGAGCTTTTACGGCGGCCTTTCTGATCAGCAAGGCTGTGTTGAAGATGGTGCTCCTGGAGAGCCAGAGAATCCCAAAGGACAATGAGAGGTATAAGATGGGACCGTGGTTTGTATGACAACCAGTTAGACACGCACTCTAGCAATTATTGATGTTTCGAAAGATCGTGATCGATCTAGTAGATTACAGTCACTAGTCTGCGAAGAGGGCTCCCACTCAAAAGGCTTGCCATCGTCTTGTAATAACAAATCAGTGTGAAATCTCATACCGTACATCTCTATCGCGATGTTACTCTCGCTGTGACTGCAGTACTGTTCTGTGACAGGGTTTCTTCAAAATAGCCTGACAAGCATCTCACACCGCGACCATTACAACTACCGACCTTGAAGGATCTGGTGGCATCAAGCAATCGTCGTATGCAGATAAGCCGTAACACTAGACGCTTTATCGACACATGATGCTGAGGCCGTTTAAGTTTTCCGGAGCAGGCATATTGCTCATAACATTTGTGACGAAATGGCTGAGGCCGGCTACAACTGCACGACGACGAGCTAGGGGCGTTGGACAGTGGCTACAGCAGTAATTCTTTTTGACAATGGTCAGGGCTCTGCTGGATTTGAGATGCCGGTTCACAACCCCAGGCTCAGTTGGTCTCCTGCAGCTGCAGCATGCAATACGACGATGACTGCAACAGCCAAGCGCCGTATTTGACGCAGAGTCTCGAAGCCTGAGGGCGCATTCTGGTAGCGCAGGACCGCGAACAGGTCTGTTCGCCAAGGGAACGACGTCTGGAAAACAGGTGGCAGGTACTGAGAAGGCAGATGCTCCCACACAAATACTACCACGTAAATGCCAGCATACAGATGCTGACAAACAGGGAGCATGTCGGGTAAGTGCTGCCAGCATCTGTGGCATTGGATGCAATCGTGCTAGCACACTGGTTGGTGGTCGCACAAAAAAAGCTAGCACAGATACAACCACTCGACGGTACATGGTAGCGTTTGTGACCACCAGTGTGCTAGCACGATTGCACCTAATGCCACGGTGCGGTAGTATTCGTACTAGCACACAGAGAACAGCATACCTTAGATACAGGGGATGGCATACAAACGCTGGCATAGATGGTATATAAAGTAGGCCCTAATAGCTTTTGTATGGGCCTCTATGTTTATATATAGATACTAGCACATAGATAATAGTATGTATTAGCTAACTTTAGTAGGCTAGCTCTGCGCTACTGGGCCTATTTTAGTACTAATTGTCCTGTGTGGGCTAATTAACTAAGTTATTTTATAGTATAAGATGTAGCTTAGGTTACCCGCTATACGTATATAATAAATGCTCCTTAATTTATTAAACCTAAGCGGATAGTTTTTTTTTATTAGGGGATAGTAAGCTATAATATAGTAAATACTTACTATACTTAGCTAGCGTCTTTAAAGACGTAAGGTAGGAAGAGTTTTGTAAAACGAGCTAGAGGAGGTAATAGAGTATACTTTTAGCTTTTAAGCGTACGGTTACTTTAGTAATAAGTAGACTTAGTTAAGATATATATATAATTTTCTTATTTATAATAGAGTATCGAACAATACTTTTTAGCGAAATATAGTATAACTATGATAATATGTTAATTCTCTTTTTGTATATACTCTTATTAATTTAGAGAGTTAAAAACTGCTATGATAAATCTCTTTATAAATTTAATAAAGCTTATTACTAGCCTATGCTATGCGCTATATTTATTAGTGTTACTAAGTATACTTTGCTTCCCTATAACTCCGATAGACTCCGTAGTTATTAAGTAAGCTCTTTCCCGTTTGCCTAGCCGCGTCTTAAAATATATCCGTATATAGGTAATAATATAGCTAGATTATATTTTTAAATAGTATAGTGCTAGATGCTTATTATAGTAAGAATTTCCTGAGTAGTATCGTAAGACTGTGTTAAAACTTAGCTATGCCTTAGTAATATAAGGCTCGTAAAAGAGGTTATTGTGGATTATTTTAGTAGGTGCTTAAAATGTTAGGTTAATTACGCTTTACTAGCCGTAGTTATAACCGGTGGATAATATTGAGTATAAAGTACTATATAGCTAAGATTAGACTAAATAGTGTAAAAAGAGATTATTAGTAAATAGTGTATCGATTTTGGGGATATACTTACTTAGCGATAATAGTACTTTATCCTACTAATAATAACTAAGCTAATAAAGATATGGTTATAATATTATTTATTTTTAGCTTCCTGCTATAGAAATTAAATTTAGGCTTCGTCTTAGTAAATAGGAATTATTCTATATATAGATATATGTAGAGCTCTTTATTAATAGAATATATACTAAGACCTATTGAGTATATTTATCGATAACCTCTATAGTAAAAACTGTAGTTATTATTGCCGTTTGTAAATATTAAATTATATAATATAGGTCTAATCCCTGAACATAGTATAAAAGTAACTTCTAACTTTAGCTATAGTAGTTATTAAGAAGGTATTATTGGGGTATTATTATGTACCCTGTTAGTAAACGGATCTACAAATATCTGTGTATAGAATAAATCCTATCTGCCAAGACGAAGCCCAAATTTGATTTCTATATACTGTACTGTACGTGCAAAACGCATGTCCTCTTCAAGTTGCCCCTGAATATTACGTCATTGACCTCTGGTTTTGCTTCACCTAAGCCGTACGTAAAAGGGGACCAAACCAAGCCTAACTAACAGTTTCTCATGGTCTAACCTGAAGATGAATCACCATGGACTACTCGCTCGTCAGTCCCAATCTAGTCTGTCAACCATGGATCTTGCAGAAGTTGCCTCGCCGTAGGCCGAGCGATTGGATCCCACGTCAGAGCTCTTCGAATGAATTGTAGAAACTTGAGATTGTTCTCAAGTTTGCTCTCCATTCCCTCGAGGGTTTTCTCTTTCGGTATAGGCACAAACTGGCTCCAGTTTCCTGAAACACAATGGTTAGACTTCCTCTGCCAAGGATTCGCAACCGAATTATAAAATATTTTGCTAAACAAACCTTGTGCATCCCAGTACTCGAGCGCTCGATTGCGATGCTGGTTGAGGAGCTCGACAGGCGGTGAGCCCAGTGCCGCAATGAGCTCAGCGAAGTGAACGCCGTCTGAGAAACTACCATCCTCTTTGCGAGCGCTGAATAATGTCCTTCCCTCAAGGAGATCCCACGCCTGAAACAGAGAAGGAGTGGTTAAGGAAGCTGTCAGTGGAAGAGTGTTATGATTTGAATACATACTGTAAGTCCTACACTCCAGATATCGACTGGATAGCCCCATTGGATCTGCAAGAGCGTCTCTGGGGCCCGGTACATGATTGGCATGATGTCGCCAGCGTGGGGACCAGAGCCGAGTCTGGCTTCCCCAAAATCGGCAAGCAGTAGCGGCCCGGCCTTTGGCTTCATCAGTCGAGAGAGGTAGATAGTTCGACCTTCAAGTTGCTTGCGAGAAACGGGACTCGAGAGCTCATTTTCCTCCAGTTTTTGGAAGAGAGCGTCGTCATTTGCCCCGAGGAGCAGGTTGCCGGGATGAATATCTGGTCTCGTCTCAGCTACGATGTCTGGTTGCCTGACATGCTTGTTCTGCAAACGCATGGGAAGAATGATATTAGGGAGCACACACGTACCAGTATGTACGGACTGTACCTCGGTATGCAGGAAGTCAAGCGCCTTGAGAAGCTCCTTGATGGTTCCCTTCACGAATCCCTCGCTAAATCCACGGCCGTCCATAAACACTATACCCATATCACGAATGCTCATTTGAGAAACCTGAAGAGCGAGCGCGGCATGCTTGCCATAAGGGCCGAATACTTCAAAAGAAGAGAGTAGCTTTCTGACATTTTTTGCACCCGGGTGCCGGCTTGGGAGATACTTGTCTAAGTGCTCGTAAAATGGCAGCTCGCGATGCTGGGCTGAATTGTGAATGTAGATTTTAAGAGCCACATATTGATGATGTCTATCCTAAACGATTAGCAAAATACCACGTCACGACTGACATACTCACTGAAGGTCACGCGCAAGCCAAATGGTGGAGGATGAGCCATAGCCAAGTTTCGCCACAGTTTGAAATCGGTCGTCGAAGACTTCTCCAAGTCGAACAGGATAGAAGTGTTCTGATATGTACTCTGGCAGGGTTTCCTCTTCGACAAGCTGGTCCTGCCCGATGACATCGAATCCTGCTGCTGGGAGCGCCTGGGGTGCTGACCACGAACGTGGGGATGACGGCCTGAATTTGGCAGCGAGGGAGCTAATTGCCGAAGCCATTGTCTTCTGAGCCTTAAGAGGAAAGCAAAACTTGTAGGGAGCCAGCGAAACAGATTGGCGAAGTTGTCGGCAGGTGACTCGGTAGAGCGCCATGACAGCCGCTCTCGAGCATATACGTGATGGGTTTATTGATGGGTGGGTTTGGCAATGGAAACCTCGTGGCACATAACGTTATGTCCGGATATTCCTCGGAGACTGAAATCCCCCCCAACATGGTTGTGGCCAATTACGCACTAGAGATCGGCGCGCACCTCAAGGTCACATGGCTCTCCACTCTGTCGCGGCGCTTAGACGAACAGAGTCGACGAGGTTGCACTTAGTCATTCATTCAAAATCTTTCTGCTCTTGCTCTGAGTAAGCTACGTTGTATGCAACCCAGGGGCTCTAAGCGCCTGGTTATGAGCTCGATACTATTTTTGGAGATAACTGGAGAGAAGCTCTCTTCGGCTGCTCGATTGGAAGCGACCAGATCCTCAAGCGGCTTGTTGTATGTTTCATTGGTTATCTCCGGATGGGACAATAGTTTCACTTGCCGCCCAACCACGCTCTGACCACTTCATTTTTACAATTTAGATAGCCGCTCACTCAAAATCAGGCTGGGTGGCCATGTACGCGGGCGAGAAGTTAATAGGAATCATAAATAGTTCCCGAAATCTTCTTGAAATCCTTGAGGACCGGGTACTATGTCTCTCGTTTTCCAAGTTCACTATCTACACAACTTCGAAATGTCGGTTCGAGGATTTACTACTACGGCCCGAAAACTGTTGGAGCTTGTGGGGAAAGTTTCTTTGCAAGATGTCACAAAGGTAAACGAGACGAGCGGAGCGAATTGGGCGGAAAACGTACAGATTGTCGCGAGCGCAATTGAGAATCAGGTCAGTAGGATGGTCCACACATCCAGGGCTAAGTGACTAAGCCTCTCTTGAAGCGCACAGATGTGGTCTCTTACGAAATCCAGTGAGTTTCATTTCCTCCCCTCCTTTGCACCTTACTGATGCTTAAGAGGGGTGCAAAGGCTCACAAATCGAACAAAGACCCCAACGAGACCCAAGACGTCATTACGCTAGCATTCTACAGTGCTAGAGGAACCAGAATTGGAAGTGCCCATGCCCGCGAGGACGGGACTTACACCTTCAAGTCCAGTCGCGCAGGTCGCTAAAAACCGCTTGCTACGCAGTATTGGGGGACGGAATGCTTTGTAGTGGACTTGTACATACAGCAGGACGCAAATCATGTCACGGAATCGCGTGCCAGAGTAGTGTCAAGGGTATCACGAGTCATGGCAAAGCCATGATCCAATTTCTTACGGCGACGCGCCGCTCACATGACGCGACCTCTATTTCCTCTTCTTCGCGTTCCGTCTTGTCAGACTACGCCAGCACATTCGCTACGGTAATTATTTTGCCTGGGCGACCTGATCTATGCTTAACCAGAGGTATGAGTAAGGTTAGCAAGCGTATCCATATACAAGGGGATCGTACACTCATTATAGATATGGTGTTTCTTTCCATAGTTATTCATTCGCCATACTCATTAATACACACCAAATGACCACTGCCTGTCTGACTGCTGCTCAATAGTTATAAGCCCGGTGGACTCATAAGGCCTGTATGGACCCTGAATAATAACTACCGCGGTCGAAATATCAATGCTATCAAGGCTTGGTGAGGCAGACGCACCACAAGAAATCTTAACGGTCCTCTCCTGAAGCGGAGAAGATCTCAGCGTATGAGGACTCCCGAGATCACCTCATCCGAATCAAGCGTTCCAACACCACATGTTGGATCCAGACGTATGAGGCCTACCTCACAAGGGTCAGGCTTGGGTGCGAAGAGGTGAGCATTACACACTAACAAATGACCTTACTCACCACCTTGAAGACAGCCTACCCAGGCCGCTGCTCCGTTGGCTAGAGAAACTACCAAGGAAGCAGTCGACAACGTTGCCACAGAAGATGAAGTCTTAGGCATTATCATTCTTCACCAGTCCAGAGCCTGGCTTGCAGCTGGCTATGGTGAAGACCACACCAAAGAAGGATGAGCTTACGCGACTTGTCCCTAGCCATGGGTACCCAATAGGATGATCCGCAGGCCTGCATGGGCGTCCTTCCTGCGAGGAAGCAGGTCTTGCTTGCTCGAGAGAGTCCCCTCGTTAGAAAATACGCCTTGCCAATTACTACATGGGAGGTTTGGTTATCTGTCTGTGGAGATAATGCTATGAAGTACTGAGCATATTTCACGAATACATCGCCCTCGTGCGGGCGATCCCGAGCCCCGACCCCAGGTCGTTGCCGCTCTGAGAGTTGCAATCAGCTGGAAGAATGGTTCGGAATTTGACAGGCATGGTCCCCATTCTAAGCACAATACGCTTGAAGTTGACCAGCCAGATCGTCGTTGCTGTTCTTCGGCTTTCAAACCCATTCGCGGTCTTATTGCAGCATTATAACGGTGATATATTTGTGGCATTCGAGGATATCGTGAAGGGGGCGTCGTTCCATATGGTAAGCGCTTGACCACTAACAGTCGCACCTTTGTGTCCGCATATTCCTGGATCAACGAGACTGGTTGGATGAGCGGTCGATACTGGGCTCGTCTCGTAATAATACTGGAGTACACCACTCGCTCGACTCGGTCGCCTCTTTTTGTTGAAGTGCCTATCATGTAAGGGGTTTATGACGTCTCCTGCTCTGTTTCTAGCAGGCGGGTTTTACTCAAGCTGAGCAAAGAGCTTTTTGCGTTTCGCATTGTCATCTCATGCTATCAGGCTGCAGACGAGAAGTGTCAAAATTACTCTACATAGCGTAAGCGCGTACATGACTTCGCAGCATTGCTGCCTAGGACCGAAACGGAAGCCAATACATGATACTTTGGGCCTGCTTTGGGTCAGAATCGCTACCTGACCAAGTGTATGGGCCGTGGTTGTATGTTGGTCACATTGCATTTAGCCTCTCAGTATGGGCCAGGGCGCAAGGATCAACGCGCCAGTCAACCAAGGAGTGCAAAGCCATGCCGTGCCGTAATGGACTCTGGATCGCGCCATGCTTGCATGAACCAAGGGGGGGGGGTTACCGGCCTGGTCAACCAAATATCATTGGGCACAACTTCTCGGTGCATCACATCCTGGCATAGTGGCTGTTGTTCTCGGGGGACTTCCAGCTGTTGGTTATGTGTAGAACGGCGGTGGCATGCGGAGCAGCTGGCCAGGATTAACTTGTGTTGGTGCGAACAAGCCGACGTCATCTCCAGGAACAAGCATCGGAGAACAATGACGCTGGGATCTCCACGTCGCCCGGCGTCAAGGCAAGCTCACCTGAGCAGGGGGTTTGTCTGCTTTGGTTAATGCGCTCTCAGCAAAGATCGACCCGAAGCGCGAGCGACAGTCGATCGATTGATGATTGGAGGAGGGCTATTGAGGAGAGGCGACGGCTTGGCTTTCCAGGCAGGGAAGGAGTAACACAACAGGCGTAATTGTCGCAAAGGGTCTCCAACTCTGCTACAGAGAGCATGGGCTCAAGTCGCGCGTTCCTAAAATGTGGCTGTGACACGCAGGGCTCCGCAGCTTAGCTCCCTTGGGGTTAATCTGATGCGTGACACGTCATGGCAACTTTGACGAAGGCTATGTCACCCTTGATTCGAGGCGTATCGATACCTGGTCATGACCATGTATGCACGCCTGTACAACGACTTGCGGAGCGCGGAGGGCGGGCGTGGCCACACTTGCTGGTTATGAGTCAACTTGTATCCAACGGCTGTATAGACAGGTCAGGTGCAACGTGACCAACTGACAGGAGGTTGGTCTGAATTATCAGCTAAACGCTGCTCAAGGAGGACCACGATTGCATTTTAGGCCAAGGAAATCTCGACTAGAAGTCTGCCGATAAGCGAGCTATTCACAATGTAAGTGAGACTCAGTCATATTCAAGTTGATTTTGTGAAAGCTGACTCGCTGCGACTTTTGTCGAAATCAATATCCAGGCCCACGATTAATTTTGACCTACCTGCGCTAACTGATCGGCGGACAAGCTTGTCAGCCATCATACTCTATACTCTCTGTGTTCCTTTTTGAAGAACAATCTCCAATGTACTTGTCGCGCTATCTGACCGCTCCACATCGCCCTGGATGCAGAGTTAACAACTTCTATGTAAACTCATCAATCATTTTAGAGTACCACCCAACCTTCCCTATCTGGTACAGCCTCATCGCGGTCACCAGCTGCTGTCTTTTCCGATCCTTCAGCGCGTCAGATAAAAAGTAGCCTGTTCCCCTGCTATCCTCGACTTCTTTCACAGCCGTCACATAGCTTTGCTGGTCTGCAAGCTGCTGTTTTAGGTCATCGGTGACGGGATCGCCTTGTTCGTTGTAGTTCCACGGTACATCGATCGCTGGTGGAACCATTGAGAGAGTTAAGGGAAAATCTGCAAACATCTCCCATGGCCCAGCGAAAGACGCCTCCCAGTCAATCAAACCTAGGACACGATACTCATCGTCAACAATGATATTGTTATGGCCAAAGTCGCCGTGGCAAAGAGGGAATGGGCCGTGGTCGCGAGCTGAAAGTTTACTAGCAAGGTTGCTGATGGATTTTGGAAAGGACGAGACGGAGGGGATGATCTCGTCAGCATATTGACCAGACGCTGTGCGTAGTTTTTCATCCGTCATGCCGAATGTGGCCTTGGCCGCCCATGCTTTGAAAAATTCGGTCGCTGTGTTGAAAGGACCACCAAGACCCGGAACTGGGCCTTGCCGATATGTGCCGTCCCCGTTTCTCGAAACAATTGCCCCAATCATAGGGAGTTGTACCGCAGCTAATTGGACCTGTGTTTTATCAGTTAAGCATGTCCTTAGAGCGTGATTCGGTGACTTACATGCATCTGCGCGAGACGGCGTATGAATTCTTGCTTATACCTCGGCGGTATCTTCATGCCCAGGTCCATTCCCACGTTCCCTGGCAGACAGTCCATCAACATGAATGGAGCCTTGACGTCACAGTCCCGTCTAGCCTCAACAGCGTGGACTTCAGGGATCGGTATGCTGGTCTTTTGTCGCACAAGGGAAATGGTGTTGTATTCGCAGTGTTCAACGGCATCTGCCGACTCATCCGGATTTTCGAAGGCATCTGAGGTGCCAATAGGAGGCATTCGCAGTCGTGCCACCCATCGTACGCCATCGTCAAACTGGATGATTCGGACCATATGGTTGTAGCCAAGGCCAATATCACGAAGGAGCTGGCAGCTGGACCCATTCCTTCTCCTGGCGGCGTAATGTAGGAGTGAGTTCCAATCCACAGAGGCCGAAAATAGCTCAGCTCGCGAACGAATAGGTCCCTCTTGTAAGGAATCATGATACGACCACCGATATCCCGAAAAGGCTTCGTACCTCTCTAGAAAAGGTCAGCAAGAATGAAATCGAACATAACGTTGGAGTTTACGTACGAGGCGTGGTATCAGACGAGCTCCTCGCCATGGCGTTGCTTTCCTTTGCGTATCGTGATACGGTGGTGACTCGTCAATGTAATGCTTGCGGAGGAGAAGAAAAAAAGCTAATGCAGTAGAAGGAAACGGAAAGTAAGGTTGACATCAGGTTAAGTCTCCAGAAAGGGGGGCTGAATTTGACTAGAACCCGGCAGCATCTGGAAGGGCCAGCCCCGGTTTGCCCCAACCATGCCAAAGGCCCGTGCAGTAGCGGCAGGCAGTAAGCCGCCCCGCGCCTTCAGACCATTACCGCGTATGCCAGTTGCAATTTCCGGGTGGCCAATATATGCATCTGCAGCCGCTACGCCAAGTATCACTATCCGATTCTCCGCCGTAAAAACATGGACCAACCGCTTCCAGCATGCTTTGCAGTAACAAATGCAATGTTAGGAGGAGGAGGACGACGACGACGAGGTTGTCCGTAAGCCGCAAACCACTCTGGCGCCGTTCAGCACTTGCCTTGAATGAGCCATACCCGCCGCATTGTAATTTGCCATCCCTCTTTCCATCTATTCATTCGGTTTACATTCTTGCTCAACCCGGCCCATTACAATCATCCTCGCTGTATAAGAACCCCTCGATTTACCCTTGCCTCCTGCACCGAAACCTTCACGCTCAACAATCACATCGGAGTCGCACAAGTTTGAAGCTTTTCAGCCAATTTATTGCATGTACTGTTATAAAACCCTTGACCCAGACATTTACATTTGCTAACCACCGATGAATAGCATTACCCTCTCACGTCCACTTGAGATTCCATCAACATGGCTGTACACCCAAAACCTGACCTCGTTGATTTCGGAGGAAGCCTTTATACTACCTGCTGCAAATTGGGATGCAACAAGGAAGTGAAGCGCGGAGAGAAGTGTACATGCGGCCAACAAAATTGATTCGGGTCGCCGGACTTTTCAGGGCTAGCAACAACGAGCGTCTCACCAAGTGTCACGATGGCTGCGTACATTCTTAGCACTCTGCAACAGTATCGTCACCTGCCATATCACGTGGCATGTCACTCATTACTCGTTCAACCTCTCTATGAATAGCATCACTCTTTCGCTATGTCACTTTCATAGAATCAAGCCTTTCTAGATTCTATTCTTATCTGTCCTGCTGTGTGCTCTAACCGTGACACCAAAAATAACTAAGGTAATCTACAAAGTAGGGATGGCTGAGAATTCTTAGCTGTCATAGAGAGGGCATTCCTGGGATGGTGATTCCATGATTAAGGTGCAATTGAGGAAAAGTCCTCCTTTCGAAGCTTGTCACACACGCAGACCATCGTTGAAAGATATGTAGGTGTCTTGACGATCCACTTGCCGCTGCGGAGCAGTCGAGGCCAGGTTTTTGTATTTTCTACGCCGTGGAGACCTCGCACTATTCAGGCTTAGCGTCTGATCATAGCCCCATAGCTCCGTAGTGGTAGATAGGAAATCCCCACCTCGATCATCCACACTATCACATTGACAGGGAGAGACGGCTGGTCGTTTAATTGGTCGTCAATCGTCCTGTTTCACGTGAAGCAGTCGGTAGGTTGGCCCTCGTCTAGAGAAGATGGCGTGATTCGGGGCGGTTTCAATCGGCAACCAGGTCTCTACGCCTGAAGGGAGCCGCCAGGTACTGGAGGGGCGTGCCTGGAGCCCAGTCCGACAGGTCTGGGTCCCAGCCTACAGGGATTGCTAACAAGCAACACCATCCCCGTCGCATGGTCAAGGTCGCAGAGTTGTGGAGATCTTTGTTTTTCCATAAATTTTCGTTTTCTACGTCAACCTACTTGGTCCTTAGGGGTATATTTAGACTCCCTACCAGGTAGTGTTGGTCTGAACAGGGCAAAGCAGTGAATCTCACTGGCCAAATTTCTGTTCGACGTGCACAAGAATCTCGAAAGTAATACTGCTGATGTAATCGCGAGAAGCATGGGCGAAGATATCTAACAAGGGGGTTAAACTTTGGCCTAATACCGTAGTACGCACATATCGTACGCTAGCAGTTAATGCGACTGACTTCTTCAGTACTAACTAAACACTTCTCGAATAAGAGGTTTTCCTTATAACGTAATTATTATAACGACTTATCGATTCGCCCTTTGGAACTGCGCATTGTATTTGTCGTATATACTTATACACATCTTATTATTATAGTAGCTTTGCTTATAAGCTTGTTATAAAAACAGAGGGGTTGCGAACCCACTTAGGTAGGCTTTGGCTTAGAAAGACTTTAGAGAAATAACGTTATATCTCTATTCTAGAGCTATAAAATAATTATTACGGATAACTTAAATAAGTTATCCTACGGTTAGTTACTTTAAACTTAGGAATCATAACGCCTAAGTGTTTTAGCCTTTTTAGTTCTAAGTAACTATCCTTTTATATTAGTTAAAGCGCTCGATAGCGAGCCCCTATTTATAAAAAGAAATAATAGAATATTAGCGGGGCTGAATTATAACTCCGGTACGATATTTATAAACTTAATTACTAACTACCGTATACTAGCGTTATTTTTATCTTAGGTCTTTATATTAGGTATCTCCTTTTTTAAATATTCGAAAATAGTATAAAATAGTTTCTAAATTACCTCTATATTAGTAAGTCCGAACTTAATTTTTTTATTAACGCGGCTAGGTCGTATTAGAGCGTTATCTAAGTACTTAATATAGTTCGTTATTATAATAAAAACACGGCTATTTTATAAAGTTATGCTATTAAAAATATTAAGTAATCTAAATAATAAAAGAGGTTTATAAGGTTTTGGTAAGCTTTGTGATATATCTATGCTTAAATTAGATTTATTGTTATTGGTATTGCGAGCTCGTATTATGCTAACTACGTTAACGTCCTTAAGTAAAACGACGTAGCGTTAGAAAAAGTCGGTAAATAAAGTACTAAGCTGTATATTATTAATATTGGTAAGACTAACGATATAAATATTAAGACCGAAGTAGCCGGTAATAGATATACTAAAGCTCGACTTCCCGGTTCCTAAGCGACTATATAATAAGTAGCCTCTTTAATATAGTATCCCGCAATTAGTATACTAAGTACAAGAGTTAGGGTTAAAAAAGGTACGAATATCGTCTAGGAGCGTTTACTTTAACTCTTCCTTTATAATAACGGTTTAGATCGGCCTAATTTATTAAGTTATAGTTCTTTTCTAGCTATTATTATAATATTCGAAAATTAAAGTCTTATTTTTTAAAATCTTTAAGTATTCGAGACAGCACTTACTTATAAAGTTTCGTAAGACTTAAAAAGAACCGCTAACATAAGAAATAGTTATTATCTTATAAAGAAATAACGCTACCTTATTTTACGTATATTATAAAAAAAATAGATATCCTTTATACTAAAAATATAATCGTTCTCTTTACGAGGTAAATCGGAGGGGCTTCTTAGTCATCGTATCATAATCTAAATAAAGTAGGGCTCGTCCTTACCTATTATTAACGCTAATAAGAGATAAACGGGCTATTTTAGTAAAGTTTTAAGAAGAGACTTAGTATTTGAGCATATTATATATCTTATTAGGATCGTGGACGTCGGTTCTAAATACTAAGGGATATTAATACTATACTAAAGTATTAGAAATAAGGGACTACTAACTTAAATAAGTATTTACGAAGCTTCTTACGGTATTATATATAAACTTACTACTAATAATAAGTAGTCTATAGATATATAACGTTATAGTAAAGCTATTTAAAGTGCCGTTAAGAAGCTAGTTTAGCGCTACTATAGTACTAGTAGAGCTAGGGAAGAAGATATTTATTATAGAGACCTAAGTAGCACTTGGATAGTATATAGTATCGATTTTTAAAGTGTTGAATAAAATCTAGGTAGTGATTAATAAACTAAGGGTAATAATAGTTTAGGATTAACTTATTAACCGATTTTAAAGAGTAATATAGTAAAAATAAGAGTAGTGTATAGAGTTATAAATTAAAGAGTACTATTATAAGGGCGCTTATTAGTAGAACTGGGTAAACGGCCGGTCTTATATATTTTAAGCTCTGCCTTAAGAACCTATGATATACCTCACTTCGAATTAGCTGTAGGCCTAATTATAGGATTTGATGCAGCGTGCTGCCGTTGGGTCTGGCTATAGTATATTGAAGGAGGCATTATGCAAGAGCTGGCACGACCATGACTTGTGTTCGCCTGGTCGTTGATTCCCTCCCCCCCCCCCCCAACAGGAAGCACAATTGGTAGCCATAGCTTGTTCATTCGTCACTTATCTTGGGCACGTTAGGAGTATGTGTATCGATGATGCTATGGCCGCCGTCCTGGTCGACGCAACCTTGGCCCATTCTCACCATTGACACGCCTGTCTATGCTAACGCGTTCGAGGATTCATGGTGTCTAATTCAGGTCTATCTGAGAGAAGAGGGGGGTTCGGTCTAGACCTCGTATGTGACGCCTCATGCCACTCTGTATTTCTAGAGCGGTACGTTTCTATCGCCTCCCTGCGAGCGTACCAATCAATGAATGGATGAATGGACGAATGGATGAATGATGAAACTGAACGGATCTTGTTGAATTTTCGAGGTTTCCGTCATAGGTGTTGGAGAAGTGAGGGTCTTGAATTGATGGAAGCGCGCGAAAATGGATACTGTAGATGCTTCAACCATCTGCGTGGCTGCGAGAATGGAGCGCAAAACACCATGCTAGATTTTGAGTGGGGAGACATGAGGGCTCCACCATGCACGAATAGGCTAAAGAATGAGCTGTGGAATGAAGGACGAATGCATACATGATGCATACATGAATGCATTTATGGGTAGATGGATGGATGCATAGATGCCTGAAAAGGCATCAAGGCGTAGCTGTCAGAATGAATAGATGGATATATACATGTGGGCTAGGTGGAGGGGTAGTGCCTCGGGCCTATGTATATCCGTCACAAAACCTATAGGTTTTGGGAATGATCAGGTGTCAACGCGGGGTGAGCAAACCCAACCCATACTACTTGCTTTCCGAGAAAATCCTGGGTAAGCTTGCGCCCTCTCTCGAGTTTCGGAGGATAGTTCTCACCATGTCCTTTCATACTTTATCTAACTACTCTCCACGACATAGTTTCCTCGAGGTTCCCCTTCTGGCCTCTATCACCATCCAACGCAAGACTGGACGCGAGAAACGTAAGACCTGCGACAAAACCACGACACCTCCTTGACGATCGATGGAATGAATAAAATTCGCATGAGGACTTCCTCAATCAGACAGCTTGTTAAAAGGTGTCAGAAAGCTGTAGGGCACCCTCTGGAGAGCAGAATGACAATCGCTGACTGGCTTGAAGACTGGGAAAAGGTGTTCTGGTCCCGAGGAATGGCCGGAGTTGCGGGACCTGGACATGCGCGAACCAAGTGCGGATATCGTTGCTCTGCTAGTCAACATGCATATCGAACCTGGAGAACAGAAAGCCGTGTACATTCACGACTCCAATGACGATCAGGTCGCTATGGTAGGTAGTGGCGACTACGAAGGGTATTCCGTCATAATACCGTGGCAGACTGGGCTGAAGTACGTTTGTTACGGGTCATGTAAGATAGCCGAGGTAAAGGTAATCGAGGATACTTCTACATGAGCTGTTTCTTACTCTTTGTCAATCTCCAAGCAGCTTTTCCCGAAATCCTGAACGTGATGAATGAGGACGTTCCTTCATGCACAGGGATAGTCAACGTGCCTTCACCTGAAAACATATGATCTGAAAGTAGACGGATGCCTTCCATCGCAGTCAACCCATACACTTTTCCATCGAGCCGAACTGGACCAGGGACATTAGAACCGCTAGCTAGAGGTCTTTTGTAGTGTCATACCTTCTTGAGTTCGTGCTGGTTCCGCAGATCTGACAGGAGCTAGAAGGGGAAATCTTCCTTCGTTATCACTATCAAAGCTTTCGTCGCTGACCTCGCTATCGTCGCTTTCGCCGCTTCTGCTGCGTTCTGCCTCGCCGTCTCGACTCCTGATTCCAGTGTCGCCGCTGGCTTGCTGACTGATGTCAACTTCGCGGCCCGTGGCTGCGGCTGCACCAACCTTGGGCCCTTGAAGCTGCCGATACTTTTCAGTGGCCAGTCGAGTAGAATCACTCCTATGTTGAATCGAAACATTGTGATGACGCCAATTGTCCTCAGTTCGTGCACCCGAACGAAGTTGATGACTTTCGTCGAACGCGTTGTCGAGGCATTCCTCGCGGAACTGAGGAATATTACCTTGATCTTCGCCTTGCTGGAATTGCGTGACTATCCTTCCAGATGACAATAGGTCTTTGTAGTCTCCATCTAATCTGGCTCTTTTATGCCTACTCCCAGGATCGTTTACGAGCTGTTGTGTACTCGGATGGGTTGTGGACAGACGGCGTTTCTGAGGGAATGTGTGATCGGGGTTTTTTTCTGATTGCTCTTTCGCGAGATGCTTTTGAACGACCGCCTGGGCTTTTGCCGTGAAAGCTAAGGAGATGTCGTCTTTTCTAGGCCATTCTGCCAAAGCTGCACTTAACTCTCGTCGCTCGGTGCAGAGTGCTGTTATGGAGGACGTAAATAAATATAGGTAGTAAGCTGGGTTACTAAGCTCTTGTCGTATGGTGGAGAGGTACTTCTGAGCTAACTTGTGTTGACTTCTTGTAGGTTGAGTAGCGGTTGGATGGTATGGTGGGTTACGAAGTAAAATGGCTGTTCGTGTTAGTCTCTTGCTTAAGTTGTCATCGGATAGTCCGTGCGCAAACTCGTCCAAAAAAGTTGCGAGATTGTTGATATGTCTAGCCATGCTACGGGCCCTAAATCGGCTACTAGTGAGTGATAGATGAAGGAATGAATAAAGATTGGGTGTGAATGGATGGGTGCATGGGACATGAATGAATATATGAGGGGGAAGACCGCTCTTAGCTTCCATCAACCCAATTCACATTTCGCTAGAGGTAAGCCGGATCAAATCGAACTCACGAATCAGAGTTCTCCCTAAGACCCCCGAAGGCCCTGATTCGTTGATTGGCTCACAACAGACCTTCTGGCACCTGAATCACACCAGAAGCGACGTACACCCTGCCGGTCTTAGGGCCTGGCCGGGCACATGCATGGCGCGACATACAGCATCTATTCATTCATCTTACATCCACTCGCGTCTCATTCATCTATTCGTTTCCTGCTTTCCCTTCGCCTGCCAGGATGGCGTCAAGGTGGCAGACCAAAAGTGGGACCCCTCAATTGCGGAGCAGTTCAGGCGCCTTGTATCTGACACAGGGGCAACACGAATCATGGCTTCGCCTCGACCTCTTTTCCCACGGCAACGTGCTACACAGCACAGCGCCATCTTTCTTTCCTTTCCCTCATGTTGCGCCTGATATCTGGACCTGACCTCAATGTTGACCAGAAACTAGGTATAGCTTTGCAGCTGCTTTATTGAATCAATTGCGGGTGGCCGCACAGATGGTCATGGATGATCAATGGCGGACGCATTGGCTCGTGATTTCAATATGAGCGGATGAAGTAAGATGACTTTTCCAGAAATGTCATTATCTTCGCCCAGGCCGCGATTCCATTGGCCTGACCGATCTCTAGCTGCAAGACAAAACTTGGTTAACAATACGAGGCGCAACGCATAATCAGTAGAAGTCGCCGCCAGGGATAGAGAAACCATGCAAGAGACTTACGACCTGCAGTGTCATTAGAACACAATGAGAGAGTCGTAGGAAACCAGATATCGATCGCTCATACTCTAATATATAGCTCTGGCCAGCAACTATTCGCGAGTCTCACGCAATTCTTCCTATAAAAGTGCTTAGCAGCGGCTTACTAATAAATCATATGCACGCCGCAGCCATAGTTTAGGGTGATATTTCATTCCGGCGGATGCGAAGTAAAGGCATCCGATCTTACCCAGCCCTGAGAGAATATAATGAACAAGTGGGGGAAATGCTTGACCGAAGAATAGATGAATGCATGTATGGTTGCATGCCTTCAGCCTGCGTCAGGGACTCTGCCCGTCTTGGCCACGTGGGTTAATTCCCGGCTATTATCAATATAATCGAACCCAGACTTAAGTAAATTAAGCTACATACTCTACCGCTAAGACTAGAAGCTCACCGTATATAACTAGGAAGCTGTTCCGATAGCGTCTATATAAATAAGTAATGCGCTTCGGTTCTATTAGCAAAGGTCTAACTAGCATCATACCGACCTAAGCCTACTTATTATCTTATTTAAACGCTTTAGCATAGACGTGCCTCTAATATATTTCTATAGAACTATTTAATTAGTAGTAAAATAACTTAACGGAACTCTTTTTATAACGGAAAGTAAAGAATAATAAATTCTATATATTTAATAAAACGGTATATTCGGTAGTACTAGCTAAGTAGTAATATATCTAATATAATACGAAACGATAAGTATCTAAATAGAAATTATATACTTCTTTACTTATTCCGTATATAACTATTTTTAGAGGTTAATAATTGATTATTTTAAATTATAAGAATACCCTTATGAGTTCTAACTTTGGGGATAGATTTAATACTAAGTAAATAAGTAAAGTTTATATTTCTATAGTAACCCTTTACTTAGCTAGCTTAGATCCCGTCCCTAAAAGGGTACGGGTTAATAATAAGCGCCTCTTTCTCTCGTTCTCTAAATAAAGTAACTATGCGTATAAGCTTATTAAGCCGGGCGGTTAGTATAGCTACTTAAACTCTTATTATTAGCTACGGCTTACTTATAATTTATTCGATTAATATTGATATTTTAGAGGACGATATAATTATAGTTTTCTAACTAGATAATTTAACTTTAGCCCCTATACTTTCCTAAATATTTATAAGACCGCCCTTTAGGTAGTTTTTAGAGACTATCTAGCTAGATCCCTTTTATATTAACGACTCTCTTAGTATACTAAATATAAATAATATAAGCTATGTACTTAAAATAAAAAACTATACGGGAATCTACTTCTTATATTATAGTAGCGTCGTTTCTCTTTTTTAACTAGAAGCTAGTTAGTAAAGTTATGTTTTATATTAATACTAATTATTATATATAAATAAATCTAGTCTAGCTTCTAGATTAATACTTAGTATTGGCTTAGAAGATTAAAATAGTACATAGTTTACTATTATTAATAGTACTAGTACTTACTATAATCTTAGTGATAACCGTTATATTATTATTAAACTACTACTATAAGCTAATAAGGGGGTTTATAATAGCTACGGCTAAAGGTAGATAAATTAATAATTAGAAGAAATAACTAGAACGATAATTATTAGTTTATTTTATACCCCTTAAATATTTAAGATAAGTATAGAATATAAAGTCCCTTTTTAATATATAGATTAAGTATTTAGTAGTTACCTTAATAAACCGTTTTAAATATAAGAGAAGCTATTTAACTAAATAATACTAGTATTTGTTCTAATAATACTCTAGCTTTATATAGTTAACTTATTAAATTATAAGTAATTAGTCCTAGTATTACATATTAATAAAAAGGCGTTCGTTATTTTATTTAAATAGTTAAAAAAAGAAAAAAAAATTTATATTAGAAACCTAGAGTAATAACCGCTTAACTTAGATTGAGGCTCTTTTAACTTTACTAATAATAAGGGCTATTATTATTAGCGACTAATTAGTAGAGGTTTTGATCGTAATATAGTTAGGTTACGGAGGGCGGGGGTAATAATAAGTAAAATGTGGGTATCTTAGGGCTTCGTAAAAATAAAGCTATTTAGTATCTAATAAGATACTCTAAATTACTAAGCTTTTAAATCCTAGTATTTACCTCTCTAGTCCCTAATATATAGTATCCAGAATCGGTCCGTAGTATAGTAATAGTTACTAAATAAGGCTACCCCTACCATATCCTTATTATCGAATTAAAGTCGAGTAGTACTATACTACTTTATATAGCATTAAGTATCTACCTCTAAGAAGATATATTTACCTAAATATATACCTCTAAAAAACATATTCTAGTCCGTAGCTAACTAGTTTTCGCGTAGCACGTTATATTATAAAAGTTTAATAATAATATATTAATCGTTAGTACTATTTCTTAGTTTTTGAGCCTAATTATAATAATAAACTACGTATCTCGTAAATCGGGGCTTATTTTAAATATTAAGTCCGAAGCTAGGAATAATATAGGTACAAACGGTTTTTTAGTCAGTTAAGAGAATACTTAGTATAATATAAGAGCCTATTCTTAGGTTAGAAAATAGTAAACTAAATATAATTTTTAATATTATTAATCTCGAAAGAGTAAATAAAAAGTAAGTCCTAGACTATAATAAGAGTTTAAGTCGCCCTACTAAGTACTAGACCAGATAGCCTAATCCTTACGTCCACTTTATTAAGAGGGCTAGTAAAGCTAGCTACTACTATATATTAAAATATATTACTAAATTTAAATCGAAGTAAATAAGCGAACGGTTACTATATTAATAATTTCCGTTTTAAATACCGTAACGGCTATTAAACTATAGCTTACTTATCTTCCCTATCCCTAACCTAATTAATTAGTTATATTAGTAAGTTAGCGATATATAAAAACTTATAATACGTAGTTATTTGGCTATTATACCCTACATAGCCTAAGAAGTAAATAAGACTTAATTATTATTTTTACGAAGTTATAGTAATACTATTACGTACGCCTACTTATATTTTTATACCTCTACTCGCTAATTTTTATATCCGTTCTAATTAAAAAAATAGGGTATAATAATCTAATAAAAAAGTCCCCGGTTATAATTCTTCGCTTTTAGTAATAATATTCCTTATTTATAATCTCCCCGTTACTTTCGTAAATAAATAATCACTTCTTAATTAAGTAACGCTCTATAGCCCCGCTTCTACCTTACGTATATTAACCTACTTACTTTCTATTTCCTAAATTAATAAGTATACTTACCTTTATTAAAGAGCTAGTTTTATTTACTACTTAGGTATAAGAGAGCTTTAGTAAAAAACGTAATATATAAAATAACATAGTTTATACTAGATAGGGGCTTATACTTAACTAAGAGTCTTTTAAAAGTAGTATAGTAATAATAGTAAATAAACCGTCTATTAGTTACGGTAACGTAGGGCATAGCCTAAATAACGATCTTAGGGTTATTAGCAATTTTAGTAATATATTTATTAATTTAGGCAACCGTTTAACGGAGTCCCCTTATTTTTTTTTTATTATTTTTATTAATAAGGCTATTTTTATATTATACGTACTTATAAATAATAATAGCTAAAATTAGTACTCCGAAATTATCT